TTTTTTTTTTTTTTTTTTTTTTTTTTTTTTTGAATAAACAGGAAAAATTCACATTGATATCCCACATGGTGTACTACAGGCAGTTTCATAAAATCCGTGAATATTCTCAAATGAAAGCTTTATTAAACCGATTATATAACTGGAATTATTCAAAAGCTCAATTATCAGCTTATTGTCGGTCTAGCTGGCAGTACAGCTGAAGGCGTGGGACGAGGACAGCTGGCGCAATTCCGGCAAGTTAAAAATAAAAGATTTCGCCAAGCCCGGAGTAAACGAAAAATGGGCAACCCCGTCGTGGAACACGGACCCGTCAGGATCTAGTTGTAACGTTTCTCCGACAGTCACAGATAGAACCCACTTTGACGAGCAATCAGTTCAATTGAATCTTAATGGAAAAAAGAGTCATGAATAAAGCGAAAAAAAAAGTAACGCTTTCCAATTCCATCCTGTATCTTAACCCGCAATACGATATATTCTATACAGTATATACAGTAAAAATTTTTCAATAGAAATCGCGTTTACGAATAAATGTCATCCTTCTAGAAGGAATCGAAATTACATGATAAAAATGAAGGCCAGCTACCGAAAAGCTCTACCGCTTAAAACCGTTTTCAAAATTTACCATGCCCAGCTATAATGCGGCGGGGTCCTTAATTTTGGAAAAAAAAATAAATATAAATTTAGAAAATAAGACAACAGACTCCATCGCCACGAAATATCCTCCCCCAGGCACGGAACCTCGGTATATATCCGAAAATCGAAAAATTTCAAATTTTTCGAAGTGCATCCCAAAATGCCACGTCACAATACATAAAGTATATATCCCTATTGCATATTACAAATTTTAATATTAATTAAATATTCCCATTAACGAGATCTTAATTAACAAATTAAAATAACACACCTACGTATACACCCTTGTTAGCTAATCACCGAGTAAAAGAAAAAAATGTTTATTTCAACGTCCCACCTCTGCTCTCCTACAGGCTATGGATATCCAGGCATGTAGCAGGTCTCTGTCGCCACCAGAGAGAAACTCAAATAAGTAAGCCGAGAGCAGGCAAGCCGCTCGAAGCCAGCCGCAGCAGCCGTATGAATATTTAAAGGGATGTAAATTGCGAATTAACTATTGATAAAAACAAACCAGAGGGTTCGTGTTAAGTCCTCCGTCATAAATCACACCCTTCATGGGCAACGTCGTCATCGCCGGTCTCTTACAGGAAACACAATTCGCTGCCAGGCAGCATGAAAGTAACACATAGAAAGTTAAAATCAACGTAACAGAGATATTAAAAAAAAAAAAAAAAAATTTCAATCCCACCAACATTTTTCAAAAATATCCCCACTCCCCTCTCCGGTCCGAGTGTTCCAGTTAAATAAAATTAAAATCCGTTCGCTCAGTCCCAAAAATATTTCACTGACAAGCATCCTGGTCCCTACCTCGAGAGATGCAAAACCCAAAGTGACTCCTATATACACAGCCTCACGAGTAAGCCAAGAAAATCGGCTGTAATTTCCCGCCGCTCCATGAAATTGTCCGGCGTGAGGACTTTCGAGTCATGGATAAGACATCGCTCACAGGAGTAAAGTGTCCCGAAGGAGCAATAGAGCGAACGAAAGATCAGAGATCTACAAGCAACTCCATGCAGGATTCCTCTAGAAGGACAAGGACGGAATGAAAGGGCGAGCGCGAAGCATAGAGAACGTTGAACGAAGAGGGTAAACTGGCAAGACGTAAGGGTAGACTTGCCGTATCCGAAGGTGTGAGTAAGCGAGTGCGAGGGGGACAAGGTGGGAGGGAAATGACGATGGGGCAGGGGGGTAGACGAGAAGGTGAAGGCGAGATGGAAGATTATAGGCACGTATTGGCGCATCGGCCCCCTGGGTTCAACCGGCTGAGGGTGGGAGGGAGGCATGGGGTATAAATGTAATCCAGAACCCAGACGTGACGTACATAGTTGCCTGGCTACGAGAAATCGTCTCTCTTCTTAGCGGAGTCTCTCGCGACGTGGCACGTGAAAATACGGCAATGGTCTTTCTTTTACCGTTGTACTCGGAAGCATCAGGAACGTCTCTGAGCTATCAGGAAGATCGTCAGACTCCAACTATTTCGCCGTTCCTATATATATTTATTTCCTAATCTTTATACGTGTATGCCTTTGATTACCAAGAAAGCCATTCGTTCGGTCTGCTCGCCTCGTAAATCACAGCTGCTTAGACCGTGATAAGGCTCGTGTGACTTGCTCTTTACAAGCTATTATACCTTATACTTTAGGTGGGTGTATATCTACCTTCTACCTCCCGGCCCACCGTCTACGGCCAACACGTGTAAGCAAGTCCGGACTCTGTATACCTTTTTCAAAGGGAACTCGACTGTATAGTTGCAGCACTATGTATGATAAGAGGAACGTAGTTGGAGTACAGTCTAAACTCAACGGACGACGTTGTCGCATTTCTTTTTAATCTTATATATATATATACTAACCTGAAAATAAAGTTTTTACTCGCAGTCTTGTTTTCTCGAGGAATTACATCAGTGAAGAAAAAAATTATATTCCTATGAATAAGTTCAATTTGAAATATTTCCTTTTTTCGTCCAAGGACGCGTATGTACAATATGATCAGGATATGGATATCCCGATAAAAACTGGTCTAGGTTAACTCTTCGTGAACGTTATGTCACTCGACAATATCGTCACGTAGGGTTTACTGTGCTCTCATAAACTGCTTATGTCGAGCGTCGTGCGTTGCTCATAAAAGTAACGCGTTCTAGTGTAATAATTTATATGACAATGCGTTGTTTATTTGCCTCTTACCGATCTGTGCTACGACTGTGCTTTAGAAAGCTCAGCATTCCTCAGGATCTGTCTCTAGGATCTTCGAGACGATACATATATAATACCAGACAAGCCGCAGTGACTATATATATAACGTTCCTGGTACCTACTTCATTCAGTATTTACATTGGCTGTCCCTACCTAAGTAATTCTATAATCCCTACCTCAGTCTAAACCCAAAAAGATCTGCACTTTCGGCAACAAGAGATCAGCATCCACGATGTGGCAGAAGGCATACACTGAGGCTCTGCCACGTGTGGTCGTGCATGGTAGAATCGACTTTACATGGTTTACGTGGTTAACCAAAAAAAAGAGTACCATATATCATGTAACCCTTCAGATCGAAAATCAAATCGATACATCCACTGTATATTAATCTAGCACATTGTATAAATATATTACTATTTAGCCGGATGCTTATAGAAATGCTTATGGTAATAAGATTAAAAATTTTTTTTTTCGTTATTTGGTTTGTCTTGTAATTTTTAACTCTAGTCGCTGCTGGAGAATGGTTTGTTCTAACGTATCCCAACTAGCATAAGTCTCTGTCAAAAGAGATTTAATGATGATATTTGTTCTTCCTTAGTTTTGACAGACAAAGCTCTTGTATCAGTTACAAACTCCTGGCTGTATATTATGGCCATACGAAATCCTACGATTTAGCGGTCAGAAGCATATCGGGATAGTTTCAATTACAAAGTTTCGCGGTTTCGCTATTACCGCAGACATAGAAACGAGGATGTAGAAACGAGTGTTAACGATGCGCCCGTATATGGGCATTACTCTAGAAACCACAGTGGGAGTAGAATATAAAAATTTTTAAAATATAAAGAGTCACTATACATCCAAATAATTTGGATATCCCATTGAATACAGGCCCGGACGTACGATTACTGAATTTTGTAATTTTATCAAATTACAAACCACGATATGAAAAACCGCAAGCATAAATATCTACGTACAATCACGCAAAGTGCACATAAAGTCTTAAAGCGCTTATACCGTTTGAAAATTCAATTACCGAACCACGAAAGGAGCCGAACTGCACTCCGGGCAGGCAAAGTACAACGCCTGTATAATTTATACGGACCCCCACGGGAACCGAAGATCCGTTTAATATTCAATAAGCACGTCTAAGGTTCGAGGGGTCAGTTTCTCTTGGGCGCCATACCCCGATTTTCCAGGCCCATGTGTCTCGGATACAAATAAAATAAGTCACTGGACGCAATCTGATTTCTATGAAGGTACGCTAAGTTTTTTTCATCCTGGCAAACAGCGACCATCCATTACAGCAGACGTAATACAGCGAGATGAAATTTTCAGCAAATGGATGCTGCATGTTCCTCAGTTACCAGCAAGATACATCATGTCAGCAAAGTGGCACTGGGACGTTTGCGCCAATCATCATTAAGCGTGCGTATGAACTTGATCAGAAACCAGGGTTCGTCCGAAAATTTCTAAAAAAAAAAAAAAAAAAAAATCACCATAAAACCCCCATACAGTTGGTTTACCATATAAGGTTGCACCATACAAACACAGTGAACACGTACCTCGGGGTAGAATCAGTCTGAACTCGTGAGGATCAGGAAAAGGAGCACACCCGGTATATGAATTCAGTCGCATAGCTAGCGTGCACCGTGGAGTAATACGCTGCAATATTAAGTAGCCCTGCGGAATAGAGATTGGAAGAAGTAGCAGAGCAACGTGTATGCCAGGCATGTGCGCCCCCACACGACTTATGTCTCTTACGGTAGAACCCTAGACCAGGTGAAGCCAGAAACGTATGAGAAGTTCTGCGAGGTCTACTGGAGATTCTACAGGGAGGATACCGATACTCCACAAAACCTGGTTACGTAGCTACATTTACGGGCAAAGGATACAGAGCCGCTGGCTCCTGTAGAGGATCCGGTACGAGTATGACCTACAAGACCCAGGTAGGATCTCGTGCTAGAGTCTTCTCAGCCCCGACCAAGGTCCGCTCATACCTCTCTACATGTCTCGAAGCTCCATCTATGACTCGCCTATATCCTGGGTAGCATCGTAAAATCTACGATTTATCACAATCCGTTCTCGAACGTCTCCCTGTGAATCTGTGATCCGATTGTACCGCCAGTAATCCCAAGGAGTGAAGTGCGGCAGGAATCTCCTTTGAAAACGTCAAGTGTCCTTAGGGCCGATAACGTCGAGACTCTTCAACTGTGGTTGATAAGATACTCGGTCACGAGGACCGCGCGATTCTTGTAGGAAGAAATCAGTCGGCGGCAAAGAAAATTCTGAAATCAATTTAAAACTCAAATAATTTCTTGACGATCAAACCTAACGCGTATATACAGTAGGTACGATGTATGTTATATAAAAATTTTCATTTCACAGCAAATATTCTCTATAGCTTTTTTTCATAAGCTTTTACGTATATTTTCCACGTTCCACTTACTCAAGGTATATATATATATATATATATATATATCTATATATAACGTATCCGTCCTTTTTCAACCATGTTGATTAATAAAAGATATTCTGTGGACTTTGAATGTCCCGCCCAGAGAAGATTGGTTAGCGGGTACGCCGACGATCGACGGAATTAATTCGAAATAATTAAAGTTTTCACCGCAAAGAGTGGGTTCGTGTCGTTCTATAAGCCGTCTACGGCTGAAAGCTCGTGCAGTTGGTAATCCTGTGTAATTTGGTAATAATCCCTTGGCGTATATTCCCTATCAAAACACACCCTGCTCCTCGTGGAAATCACGTATTGCCTAATCCCCCGGTAAGTTTATCTTAAACGCGTTAGCAGACTTGATATTGTCCGTTTCTCTCCTCTCGACTAAATCAAACCTCGACGCGCTATGGCGACGTCGTCCTAGGCCGTCAAGGTGTATCATATTTACTTGAAAATCCATTCCAGTTTCAGTAATTGAGTTTTGTACTTGGAGACTGGCACCGTCGAGCCCGGATGCCTCGCTGTGTTCTTGGACGAGCACGAGTTCCCACAGAGTACACGAAAGCGTGGACGAAGCATCAACGATCGAACGTATATCAATTGACCCAATTTTAATCCTTTCGATTTCAATTGAAACGACGAAACACCTAAATCCTTTAATATTTATTTGTACTGTATAAAAATCCACCTTGTATTCCGCCTACGGGCGTGGTCTTATTATTATTATTATTATTATTATTATTACGCGTATTAGGCTCGCATTTTACATCAGTTTCTTGAACGCTCGATACGAATATTCCGCCTACGGGCGTGGTCTTACCAATTTTAATCCTTTCGATTTCAATTGAAACGACGAAACACCTAAATCCTTTAATATTTATTTGTACTGTATAAAAATCCACCTTGTATTCCGCCTACGGGCGTGGTCTTATTATTATTATTATTATTATTATTATTACGCGTATTAGGCTCGCATTTTACATCAGTTTCTTGAACGCTCGATACGAATGGATCAAACACTGTTACAGTTAACCCAGATAAATTCATAGCGAACACATAGAATTATCTACAGTATGCCATTAATTTATTAACAATATCATGACGAAATAGAAATGTTATCAGTTTGATGATTAATCCCACGAACAGTAGCACCATTGGTTATGCAACACTTATATAATTGCAAGAGATCCTATACCGACGATATATAGATATACTGCCGTAATAAAATAATACCACCAACGGTAGGGCTCCAGGCAATATGAAGTGTAACAGTAATCATACCTGGGTAAACCCTGTTATATGCATTGTCAGTAGGTATCGCAGGAGCGTATCTATTTCATTACTGTACCCCATTATACAAAAATCGATCATACCCTATGGACACCTTATGAAAGCACAGAGCGTCGCGATGCTCCGGCTGTGTCGCGATTATCATAATTTTCAACTTTTTCTCCTCCCAGCACATACATCACGCAGATAATACACAGCTGGCGAGACAGCGTCGCGAGAGAAATATTTGTGTGGGAAAGGAGGAATGTTGAGACTTAAGATGGCCGAGCATGAGTCGTAAGAGTGGGCAAATGTAAAAACATGTAAATCCAGGAAAATTTAGGGATCCGCCTTAAGGTTACCTTAATTCGGTAGTAAAGTTCATGTTTTTTTTTTTTTTTTTTTTTTCCTTCTAATTCCAACCAAATTTCACTAGCCACCCCTGAAGTACGGCGTATAAGGAAATGTGAGGAGAGCTGCGTTACGTAAATTGCGCGCGCATGCGCACGAGTACCCGGTAGCTACTACGATTCGTAAAGACGAAGATCGCGAACAGACCACCAAGAGGATAAGCTTTCCGTGCTATAGGTTAGAAACGACGCCTCGCCTCCCATCCAGCTAACAATTGAGTCGGCAACCGCGTGAGCCTCCTTATTGGAGCGCACTGTATATATACTATATACCGGATGTCTGGAGTTAAGCCGTGCAAGATAGATGGTCCAGCTGTTGGTCCTTTGCAACGTTTCACTCGCATATATGATATATGATGTCACTGCTAAAAACTGACAGACGCGCTTTCGGCTGGTCTACTTACGTACAGGCACCAGGCTGGCGAAACGTAAGACAGGGGCGGGTCCGTGCAACTGAATAAATCGACCCAGCGATATAAATGAGATCGTTGATAAGCCCGATCTTAGCGGCGATAAAGGGATCCGAAGTGAGCCCACCGTCTCATTACGTAACACGCGAATAGGTAGAGATTCAATTTGATATTCGAGCTGCAATTTTTATCGGCCATTGGATTCAGTTAAGTGTAACCAGCTGGCTATCGCTTCCTGTCATTGTCGAGAGGCGATAAGGATCGAAGGATTCAGCTAAAAAAAATCGCCCTTCGAGCGACACTATAGCGTACGAAACGGAGCGAGATCTTCTAGGCTGGGGTTCAAGACGCGTATACAAATAACGATAAATAAGGGGCTGACAAAAAAAGTGTCGCGTAACTCACTTAGGTTGGGGTGGCGAACACTGTATAGCAACGACGATATCGGGGAAAAGTCTTGTCCGCATCGTGGCTACCGGCGACGAGGCTTTGGGGGACAAAATTATATTTTTCGACCGAGATCAAAATGTCTTCCGTGGCGTATGTTGCGGTTAAGGATGATATCGCGTCTCGACGCTCAGTGGTATATATGTATATAATTATTAATATATATATATATATATATATATATATATATATATATATATATAATATCATATTACACTTATTTATTGTGATATATATTATATATCATTATATAACAGACTTAAAGCAGAAGAGAACGTATGATACTTACGGTAAATTGTGACTTGGACAAATGATTCAATGGTAAAGCTATACTTGATACGAGTATAGGCAGTTGAGAACGATTAAGCTAAGGATGTGTTCACACGAAAATCTTTCACTGTCACAATGCATGCTATGTATACGTAATTACTATTACAGGATAATATTGTACTGAAATGTGTATGGAGGGGATGCTTGTGTAGGTAAGGGCTTACGAGGATACGAGAGTCAACGGTGGGTATAATAATTAATCATAAGCTTAGCTAATCACGACCAGACCGCCTACCCTCAGTGAATCTATCACGCGCACATTTGGCTGTGTATAGAGTCGTCGAAAAATCACTGAACACAGCTCTGTACACAATACACAAGTCGAGACGTTGATCCCTGGGTATATCTAATTGAAATATCTTACACTCACAGCATCGTAAACGAATACAGTATACGACTATAGGCGTTAGCTATTCGGTAACACGATCTACATAACAAAATATGGAGTCAGCGAAACAACGGAGGATACTGGCATGTTAAATCTGACTCGGTTTTACTCGCAGTTTCTACTAGTTCAGTTTTATTTTGATTTTTCTATAATAAATGGAATCGTACAAGTAATCCAGAGAGTGCTCGGGGCGTCTGGTACTTTTAACAAAATATTGTCTTTGTTATGTATATTTATGTTGGGCGAGACAAGAGGTAAAAATTGTACGTGTATTTCTAGCCTTAAAATATTATTCTTGCCACAGTGCGGGATGATTATTTGTATTCCACGCTGTCCTCCTGTAAAACCGGTGAAATAAGGAACTTGACCGGGGTATACTTGAGAATGCCAGCACTCAATGGCAATGGTACTCACAAGAGACTCGAAGTTAACTGTCAATAACTCGAAGCGGTACTCTCCATTACGGTAAGCTAAGGTTTAGAGTGTCTGCGGACGGACTATCGATCACGCTGGCGACTCCTAGCGGAGAGTTTCGGAATTTCGTACGATATCGTCCCCGAATGCCGTTACGACGTTAGGTACCACGAGGGTGTGAAAAATAACCAATTTAATGGGTCTTTTTCACGCCCGCCCTTCCAGTTGGCACGTATTTGAGTTTCAATTTAAAGAGCCCACTTCACAGGGATTTCCTGAGATGAATGAAGCTTCTGGAGGGTCTGACACCCTCTGGCACCGAGGAGCCCTCCTTGCCCGTGACTCGCGGCCGAGTAATAAATGCTCTTCATTTCCTCATTTCTTCGACAATTAATTAGCGAAATTAATCACGATCGTCTAACGATTGCCTGACTTCGTATTTCTATCCGAATGCTGCCTTCATCGGCTCTCACTCGCTCACTCTCATTCTCCCTCTCTCCTTATCAGCTCCTTCTTCAATTCCGATTCGCTACTCTTCGTCTCTCTCTCTCTCTCTCTACGACTCCTGCCTCGCTCATCCTCCGGAGCACCACTCCCAAGACGAACGGGAAACTCGGAGACTTAGTTTTTGCCCCGAAGGAAACCTGGGATAGGGATACTGAAAATAGAGTTTTCACTTAAATTAACTTTCTTCGAACGAAACTTTTCTCAAAAGAGGACTCTCGGCCCTCGCGAGGACCGTCGCGACGCTTCGCCATGCACGATGTTAATGGAGCAAAAACTGCACCATTAACGAGATCTACTACTTTTACCATCCCTGGAATTCGCCTTCTTTTGCGATCTTCTCTCAACCTCCCCGCCCCCACGTGGCTATAAAAACGATCATCCTGTGATATGTCACATCTGTCGATTTATCGATTCAGTATATTTATCCTAATCTCGTTACCTATTGCGAATCTCAGAATAAGTATTGTAATATTCGCCAACGTCCTGACGACCACCTTATCCATATCTCTCCACAAGAACAGCAGGTACTAAGTTTAGTGCGAAAAAAGCTGTGATTATATGAATTCACAATAATTGCCTCATAACCTACTAACGATAGGGTAACAATATCAATTATTTTTTTCAGGGGTAGATAGTAGGTATACTACTGTGACAGATGAACTTAACGACAGTCATTACCCATTAACAAATAATATCTACACGATCGCATATAACGGATAGTGATCTATAGTACTAACAAATATTATATTTACTTTCAGTAAAATTTCTATCGCTGTTTCAAAAATAGGCATTATAATGCCCGTTACAGATATACAGTTTTTCTACAAATTCTTCAAGTTTATAGGTGGACATAATTTTTTTTTTCACTGCATGACGTCACCAAGTGGTGGTAAAATCCACACAACATTTATATGAAGAAGTTTATACGTATAAAAGTATCAACACAATCTTGAACACCTCGTAAACGTAAAGCGTAACAGTGAAACGTGACAGAAATTCTTGTTTTCAATTATCTGCGTACACATATATACGTATACGTAATTACTTGGTCGTAGCAATATAAACTTCTAATTTACAAAGTTAAAATTTACTTCCAGTAAGTCGCAGTTCGTTTCCACGCGTTTACACAGAAGACCGGTCGGGGTATTACGACGATAAACACCGATTAAAAAACCCGTACAAAATGATCCCGCACATTAAAATATATCACGCACGTCTCGAGAATCGTTATCGACGGGAATGCGCTGCTCTGTATAGTTCCATTAAAAAATAACGAAGCACACTAGACCCATATGAAACGACCAATAAAAGTACGTCATACCAATATAGAGATAGAAGCCTTTGAGCAAGTATCAAATAAAATGTAAATTATTCGGATCGCAGTTTCAGCAAAAACAATGTACTAAATCGTACTTAAACAAAAACGTAAAACCTTATTGTATTTATTATGTGCAAGGATATCAAGTAACAGTAGTATCGTGATAACATCAGTTATCGATTATCGGTTATACAATTCTCACGAATTTGAAATTACCACGAATATACCACCGAAACGTGAACTAACTTGACAAATTTTGATTTTCTGTATGAAATGAAAAAAAAAAATACTATTTTCTGTTTACTTATGAACGTACCACTTGTAGCACGAGATAATTTTAAACGAATGGACGTAATAACAATTTCCCTGGTTATTCATCCGGGAATATACTGTCGCTCCAGGTAGCCATTGTTAACATTTTTGAAAAAGCACGCAATACGTTATACAACTTTCGGGTTCCAAAGGTTGCTCTTACAATACATAAATATGAAAAGTTGCCACGCGACGCTCGCCACTAAAATTGCAGAGGCAACTTTAATTTTCCAAAGCACGCCAAGGACTTAATGGCATTCCAGTAGCTTACAAAGTGAACAATGACTGAATGCCAACTTGGCAATTTCTAATTGGCAATTGGAACACATATCGGTTAGTCGTGCGTGTACTTGCGCCATAAAAAGAGAACCCAGCGAATACTGTGATACACTATAGTATACATAGACAGCGCTCAATAGAAACTAATAGTAAAAGAGCAAGGGACCGTAACGCAGTCGAGTATTGACATATGTGGATCTTGAAACTGACCGGAAGTGCTCTTCGGAAGCCACGTATTCTTACGTCGCCACCTTGACTTGGATCCTTCCGTCAAAGGGACCAGGATTATACCTCAGGGGGCGTCTAGGGAGTCTATAGTAGACCGTGTGGGTTAGCCAACATTTACATAGGCGCAAACGCAGTCTGAATAACAATGCTTGAAACAGAGCTGGAACGGCTCCTTTCCCGCCCCTCCCATCCAGCCTCCGTACCAATCCCTTAACAACCCCACGCGGAACCTTCACACTCCTATTTGGCTTATATACATAAGAATAGACACGCTTACAGCATCACTCGTAGCAACCTGGAGCAACGCGTAACCGCTGTTTACTTTAGCCGTTGAAGATTTTCTAACTAAATTGCTGAAATCCACACCGCAATTCACCATGGTATTCCAAAAGCACGTGTATTACTTCTGCGTACGGATAGATTTGGTACAGGGCCACGTGTATGTCCTCTGCGTGCTAACGAGGAACCGGTGGAGTTTACCTCTTAACCTGATTAAAAGGAAGAAACGGAATTAATTGTTGGAGCATAGGAGTGTAAAATGAAGAAGATTGAAGAAGGGGTACTCACGTTGACTGGTGCTGCCACCACAGCTACCACCATACGCCGTCTATCCTCGGCGAGTTAAATTGTTTCGATTGAATCGAACGGAACAGCCTCTCTAGTAAAACTAAACTAGAATTTCTCAATTCCACGCCGCCGCGCTCAGAGAACCCGAGACCACTTCCCTATTTGCTCCAACTTCATGAACAGCAAGGATGCACCTAGGGTACGTACTGGAATAGTGAAATTTCCTGCTCAACTTTTGATCAGTATCTCTCAGTATACGTTGAAACTTACAATGGGTATTGAACTTAATAGTTTGCAATTAGCAGATACGAGAGAATATTCCATGCATGCTTATAATCGTTATTGTACATTGATTTAACCAATGGAATATCATTTTGACAAATAATGGAAATCCCGGGATTTTTTTGCGTCATCGATCAAGATGTATAATCGATATCGGTAATCGCAATCAGGTCGCTTATCCCAGTGAAAGATTTACATGTATATTTTAGTACATATTGAATTGCCATAGAATCTAGAACTACAATACTGGCGTAGTGAAATATTGAAAGTTACATTGGATATGGAACATAATAAATCGCAATTAGCAATAACATGGGGATGTTCGTAGCCTGCATATAACGGGTGGGTCTTTAATCTTTTTTTATAATAGAACGTCGACTCTGCATAAAATTTCGAAATGTCGGATAAATGTATGATGGTGAAGTAAAAATATAAAAATTTGGAATAAAAGGATCTGCTGAAAGTTTAATTCAGGTGTACAACTGATTAAAATAGACGGATAACGTTACTCCTTTGTAGGACACGTAACTCATTTCGTTTGTCCATACGAAGCAAGCGTATAGGTAAATGTAATTAAGATTTAATGAGAATTGCCGTAAGGGATGGATTCAGAATCAATGATCGCGTTAACCGTGTTACGAGTAAACTTAATTACGGCACGCGGAATACTTCGATCTCGTAAATTCGTTTTGAACAGTACTGTACGTATCAATTCATTGAAACTATGCAAGTAAATGTCTCATCATATAAGATGACACGATCGTTACGAAAATTTCTACCCAATCTGTACAGAGTGTAATGGAATTCTTGTTTAGTCAAATGAATATTTAATTGTCCTGATGATTTCGAAGGTGAATAGGGAAATAAATGTGATTTCAGGTATATTTGTGTCATGAAATTTTGTAAAATATTACCAATTAATCAAGCGTCCATATTGTTTCATAATAAAGCCTCAAATACCCTATGTGCTCTTGTTACATTATTTGTGTACAGTATATAAAGTTGTGGAGCAATCTGTTCGTTGAAACTCTGAATTATAGCACTCTCGTCTAATTTGTCGCAAACCGTGTGAATGACATTAAACGTCTTGCCGTGCAGCAGGAGAGTGAATCGAGGAATAACTTTGTTAAACAGCCAAGAGGTATTTGCTATGGGAAACTACAAAGTTGTTAAAATTCATAGTGACTATTCCATGAAATTTAGTCAGTGAGGATTTTAAATATAGTGAAATGCTGAAATGATTTCATATAGGGATATGGCATGCCTCAATATAAATTAATATGTAAATGGCTATTTATCAATATGCCCATAATTTCTTACAACGTTCATTTCTAAATTTAAGAATTTTTGTATTAACTATATTTCTAGAAAGTCTCTCGAATGAATCTAGAACTCGTCATATTTACTTTACTCACGTGTACCTGATGCGTCAATTTCAATTTTCTTAATACCTCTTCGATACGATACGGTTTCTTTGTACGAGCTAAAGTACTTCCTCGAGATCCCATTTATATTGCTTCTTTGGGTATATTTCTGTGAAATTACGGAAAATAGATATCTACGTAATTATTGGAGAATACAGATTCCACTTTAAGACCTCAGCGACAGGAATAAAAAAGAATAAAAAACAGGAAAAATGCATTTTCACTTTGTCTGAACTCCATAATAGGACCGATTGTAAAACTAACCGTCTCGTTCTGCTGCACAATCGTAAGCATGATCATTTCATTGGTTATCGTTTAAGAATAATTTAAGTGTGACGTTGCAATGATACACGTATTTTATTTTTATAAATGTAACAGTATGAAAAAACATCCTGGGACTCTATTCTTTCTTGAAATTACTCGGTATTGTCGCATGCGACAATCATGGTCGAGAGATCGGAGCCTTTCCACGATATTCTGCTCGACGTAAGGACCAGGAACTAAAGTAATGTCGGATGCGACAATATCAAATGATTTCGAGAACAGGACTTATCACAGTAACGTAGAATACCAACCTAGCAGCAGGAAATAAAATCGGAATCTTATAACGCATTTGCATCAACAGTCGATAATGTAGTTTTCTAAAAAAAAACAATTTAAACCCCTTCATATAACTTGATAAAATATATAAAATGTATTAAGAAATCAGTATTCATCAACATTTAGAATTAGTAATCATCGATTAAAAAGTTACTCTTTCAAGAAATAGAATACTAAAGGACAGCAGCGTCCGTCGATGACGTGAGGATGCGGTTTAACTCGATAGACGAAACTATATGTAACAAGTGGGTGGAGCTTTGGTGTAGCTTCGAAGAATTGTAGATGATCGTGGATAACGTTGATCCATTAATATTGTTGTTGATATATCGAGTTGGCTGATGCTTCGCTACCTGATGCTGGGACTCGTGAAATTATATTGACAAGGATTTCGGACGCTTGTCAAACGACATTATCTTGTCATCGTGGGCCATTGATATCTCGATGACGCCCCCTCATTAACCAGTTGCACGACCATCATAAGCAACAGTCATCCTCGGGCATGTCAGAATTGCCTTGACTTTATTAGGAGTAATCGGCAGGTGGAACTCCTAGTTAATTTATAAGGATGGCTGAAGAGGCAGAGAAAGTTCGGCGTTATAGCGAAGAAGTAGAATCTACAGAGGCCGACGTAGATGGCAACGATATCGATGAAGAGTCAGATGGTGTCGTCGTACCTGAACTTCAGGGTATTCTCTCGAAATGGACTAACTACATACACGGGTGGCAATCACGATTCATCGTTCTCAAGAACGGGACTTTGTCCTACTACAAATCTGAACAGGACAGTGGGTTTGGGTGTCGGGGCTCTATAAGTCTTTACAAGGCAGATATTAAGGTACTACTATGAAGTGTGTACTTGAATATCACAGTTGGTGGAAGAACACCTGTGAATACGTCCCATTATGAAATTTTTAGTTAACTGCAAAGTAATTTTGTGAGTGAATCACTGGCATCGAAGAATGTTACTGGTTCGATGGATCCCTCACATTTTTATGAAATATTAAGACTGGCTCTTTTTTATTATGCAAGTTTTAGAAGTGATTTTTCTTTACAGGGTCATGAATTTGATGAATGCAGATTTGATGTATCTGTAAATGACTGTTTGGTGTGGTATCTAAGAGCTAACAATCCTGAAGAAAAACAACGTTGGGTAGATGTGTTGAAGTCGTACAAAGTAATTGTTATTTTGGGGTTCTAAAGTTCTTAAAACTACTTGATTGATCCAAATATGAAAGCATTTAGAGTATATTTAACAATTATTGTTGTACATAGACTCCTGATACAATTTTTTTCTTGTAATAGGCTGAGTCTGGATACGGGAGTGAGAATAGTTTAAAGCGCCATGGTAGTACTGTTTCGCTTGTATCGAACACACAATCGACAGCCAGTGGTGGTAGTTTTAGTAAACGAGGATTCAGAGTACTAAAGGAAAAGTTGGCTGAAATAGAAACCTTCAAGGATATCTTGGTACAGCAAATTGATACATTGCAAAAGTATTTTGACAACTGTGCAGAGAATGCCAAAAATGGCCCAAATAAAGGTATGTCCAATACTTAAATTATATTCAAAATAATCTCAGTGCGTTGGACCAAAATTATATGGATAGATTACTTGATGAAGTATCTTGTCCTGTGATAACATTATGACAAGATTAGATTATGATTTATGAGCCTATAACAGTTCTCTAACAGAATTTGTCATACCTGCAATAGTGTATTATATACCAACTTGCACGAACGGCGATATTATTACAGAAAATAAAATCGAAACAGCCTTTGATCCAGCCGAACAGTCCGTGGATTTCAAAGGCGAAGCGATCACTTTCAAGGCCACCAGTGAGGGAGTGTTAATAACATTACAACATTGTCTGGATTTGATGGCTCAACGTGAAGATGCATGGCGTCGTAGATGGGAGAAAGAAATAGAAAAAAGGCGAAAAATCCAAGAATTATACAAATCATTGAAGGATCAAATCGCTATTCGTCAGGGTGACTCACCAAGGCCAAGAGTTCTCATACACGGCGGCCCAGACTATGAGGTAAGTCACTTTCGTCAATAATTTTACACATAGGCAGTTGTCATCTTATTAATGGTACTAAATATTTAGCACAAACATCCTACTCGCTTTATCCTAACATATTTATAGTATGGACGTTTAATTCCGTTATCAGTATAAATATATACAGTTGATTACACATATGCATTAATCGCGTTCTCTAACAATTAACCTTTCGACATTTAGGACACAACCTAACGTGCCATGAATTTTAAGAATAATTGCAAAAGTATTAAGTATACAATACTCACATACAATCAATGCTAATTCAGTTTGGTACCATTAAACTAATTTTCATTTCGGGATTTTCATTTCTTTATATCATTGAAATAATTGAGCAATATTAGGATTATGACACACCAAAATATTTTGATTATCTAATAGACTGCGAAAGTATCCACACGATTTCTATCTAGTAAAGACCTGATGTTCGATCATGCTTATTTATATGTGGTAATTTCACCTACCAATGGATGTGACTACCAATTAAATTATGTAACCGCAATGGAAACAGTTGCTCAATGTATGACCGTCTGGTGCTTGGATAAGGTCACACTATTTCGTTTACTGGAAATGTTCGTTTTTTTTTTACAGAGAAGACCGTAAATTTTCCTTGCTCGTATGTATCGACAGAAAAACACGTGCCTTCCGCGCGGATCAAAAGACAACAGCACTGCAGTGCTCTTAACAAATAGATTATAGATTATACTGTACACATTGTATAGTCCTCAAAAATTGAAAACGTAATTTAACTTTATTTTTCAGTTATCACTTATCGTTCCTGCAAAGTTCATGATCTGTTAAAGTCATATAGCAATACCAAAAAATAGTTGACTTTAAATGCATCTTTGCATATTCCAATTTTATTCATAAGAGTCCTATGAGACGTAAATCTCCATGAATTTTTAAACGAAGAAAGATGAAAACATTAGGAGCAAACGTTTCACAGATTTTGTTTTAATTAATAAAACATTAGACTCTCGTTTCCAAAATAAACTTTGATATTCAAGCCATTTGGCTGGTCGTTTTGAAGTTAATTTTGTATACCGAATTTTTATTGCTATAAATTTTTTAAAGTCGCCTCAAATTACAAGCAACACTTTTTTGTGCTGTCCAGGTATTGCTTTCTTTTTAACAATCAGTAATCTAAGGTTACCGCAAAGTCCAATTTCAATATCGCAAATTTTTTATTCTTCAAAAAGTATTTATTTTGGTCTAAATATGAAGAATCCACGGTAAAATTTTGGCGCCACTGAATTCGTAATCTTCCCAATTAATTAAAAGACAGACAAGGGCTTAATAATAATTTTTAATAAAATTCCTTATTGCTGTACTGTACATATCGCTAGTTCTATCTTTTGCAATTGCATGATTTGGTATTATTACTATGAGTAGTATATTATTGCGATGACGTTCTCTCTTCGTGGCTGCACAACGTATGGCAGACATTATCGCAATGAAAGGTAAACTCGGTTAACTCTATCGCACACTACAGGAGGTTGACTCAATAATCAGAGACTAGAATTCACGTTGGTCAGTAAACTACTGACGCTCGAGGGAGACGCACTGGTTTCGCAGCTGCTCGTGCCGCATGTATACACAATTTTGAAGTCTATCGATTCATCATGGGAAAATTGAAAATAAAAACAAGGTTTTTCAAAGTGAGTACTGGAGAGTTACACGCGATAAATATTTTTTAAAATAAGAGTCATGTAATCTGCGCCATAGTAGATATCCAGTCATTGCCTTTACAACTAAAATTAATCGTGGTGTTTGATAATATAGTGAGAGGTCATCAGTTCATTAGAATGTTCTTCATGTCTAGTCAAATCAGAAAAGTACAAAATAAGCAAAACAATGTTAATTCTGTTTGATAATTCCACTTCGTGTTTCAGTACGCAGCTGACAGTTGTCTTGTAATGGACGGAACGTATACCGAATTAACTGTATTTATTTACTTGTTGAATAATATGCATTTTGTACGATATGTCATATATGAAATTTAAGTGAATCGTCAATAGTTAATTATTTGTTAGAGCTATTTATGTCATTTATATATTGTCTATTAAATATTTTCACTAGTAATACTCTCAACGGTACTAATCAACAGGAATATTGTGTTACAATAATTGACATGACCACTTAAAAGAAACGATCATATCGCAGCATTAAAATGTCTGAAATTTTCCAAGCAGTGGACCCTTAATATTAAATTCATTTTATTGTGTAACTGTATGCATTATTAATGGTTTAACGAATCATTAGCCAAAAATCACGTCTTATCATCATTTGACCAATGTCATTCATATCCGTGTAGTAATGTGTTTGAACAAATAATTTATAACGAAAGAAAATAAAATGTTTATGAATCTTGCCTTTACAAGGAAGGTCCGCACAGCGCACTCTGCGATGAAGAGTTTTACGATGCGGTGGAAACTGGACTGGACAAAATCGATGAGGATCTTCAGCTGAGGGATCGTTTGAAACAGAAATCTGTTTCGTTACCATCGGGTATAGCAACTCCAGCGGTTAAGCACAGACTTTGGCCAGAGGTAATTATATGAGACTTTTCAGCAATAGTGATTGAAACATATTGCCAACATGTTGTGAATACAGTTTCATTTTGTCCATTAGAGTTATCGTGTTTCAGTTCTAGCTCTTGAGAAGTATCTGCTATATTATTTGTTTCTAAAATTACGTAATGTGTACATTAGAGTTGTTTCAAATGGTGCATATACCTTTCTCATACGTTACGCATATATTATTACAGATAGAGAAGGTGACGATGGAGCAACTGCATTACGCACGTCTTGGAGTCGGTGGCGCCGGCGGTTGGCAACTCTTTGCCGAGGATGGCGACATGAGGATGTACAGACGAGAGGAGGAGGCTGATGGCCTTGTGGTTGATCCATTAAAAGCATGTCACGTGGTGAAAGGTGTAACGGGTCATGAAGTCTGCAACATCTTCTTTAGTCCAGAATACAGAAGTGGCTGGGAAGCGACCTTGGAGGACATGACAGTTGTCGAAAACATTTCGAACGACACACTAATTTTCCTTCAGACCCATAAACGAATTTGGCCGGCCACACAGAGAGATTCCTTGTTTTGGTCGCACATACGTAGAGTGTCGGATGATCAGGATCCGGATGCTCATGATCTTTGGATCGTTTGCAACCACAGCACTGAACTTCCAGACTATCCGGTTAGTTTTGATACAAAGGCAATATGAATCATCCTGTGAAATCAGTTTGACAGTGTTTCTTATCATTTTTTTACAGGCAAACACCGGAAAGTGTGTCAGACTTTATTTATCAGTATCATTAGTCTGCCAAACTTTCATTGATCCACCGAAAGAAGGAGAACGAATTAAGAGAGAGGATATTACTTGTAAAATAACATACTGCTCTGTGGGTACGTATCATACACATTATTCATAAATTTAGTTTAATAAACGTTGAGGGTGGTATTGTAATTTCGTTTTACCCTGTTTACAGTAAATCCTGGTGGCTGGGCTCCAGCATCTGTATTGCGTGCTGTGTATAAACGAGAATATCCAAAGTTCTTGAAACGCTTTACCAGTTTTTGCATTGATCAATGCAAAGACAAACCTATCGTATTTTAAAGTGAAGTCATCGAACTTCATAGTTCTTTCTTTTTAACTCAAAGGAATGCGCATCCCATGCGGTGTACGTTAGTTAAACTTCACATGAATGGCACACATTTTTAAATTTCCTGAAAGAAGGCGTCTTACACGCTCTCTATTCCTGCGAATATAATTAATTTGTTATTATATAATTAAATGAATGGTACAGTAATTGGAATTGTACGTTAAAAGTCTGAGAGTCAGTGGATAAACAGGTAGAGTTTGCAAATTGAATTAATCCGATAACAACGAAAACAACTGCACGATGATTTTTTGTAGGGATTATATATATATAAATATATATATATTGAAGCGTCTATAAATCTTTGTGCGCTCATAAAATTACTATGTTCTGTAATTCGAGGCGCAATTTAATTGTCATTCTGAACGAATCGCAAATGGAAACACCGTGATATCCTTATACTGATATTCCATACCTATTGTAATATCAGTTAAGTAAATCATAGAGAAGTGCTACCGGTATCCAGTTGTACAAATCTAAATATTAAACACAATTATTCATTGTTACATTATGGCAATTATATACACAAATGTATGATAATACAAATTATATTCTTATTTTTATTTATATGAAGATATGTACGTTGATGCGTAAAACACCACAAAAAATATGGATCATAATAAAGACTGTTGTAGGTTTATGCTAATGGTGATGCAATTATCTAGTAATCCCCTATGGCGAAGTAAAATTAACAAACTAACTCCGCGCCCACTTATTCATAGGGTTATTCTGATAAATAACTACCTAAAGTTATACAACGTATCAGCTCTTTGTGGTAGAACTAACTATTGCTGGTGCCGCTTTACCTTCATACAACCTAAATATACGTAAAATGATATATATATCAATACGTTTGAATCTACGACGTCAGCATTTGCCAGTGCCAATTATTGACAAATGCAAACTTGCGAAAATTTAGTACATTAGTGCACTCTGCGATAAAAATGCAGTCTGTTAAAGAACTTTCCGTACTTAAGCCTGCTTCCACTCCATCCACTAACGTAGAGTTGATAACGAACTACATGTACATATCATCTATATATTTATACATTGTTGATCTAAATACGATGTATGTATTTTAACTCGTCCGGCAGAAACATTGTCTATGCATTGGTGGAAAGTAATGCATTATTATAGACACACATCTGTAATAATGTTTAGGATCTCCTCGACCTTATGAATTAACGTTTGCCATTATTTAGATACTCAACTTTATCATGTGAGTCAGCTGTTATATTGCGACAGAAGAATGGTAAATTTCCTCTTACTACCCCACCACCACCGCCACCAGCTGCGTTGACATCTTGCTGATGGTCAAACAAAACAAAGAACGTATGACAGATTGAAGTGAGTGCCGCGACTGTAAGCTTCACGAAAACTTACTACGTTCAATTGTTGATCTCATTCTTTGTATTCAATCCTTTAACAACGCACGAATAATCAAGTTTAAAGTGGTGGAAATACTTTTTTGACAACTACGTTCTTGCGGTTCAGTAAAACATTATTTGACGGCATCGAAACAAACAAATAATTCGCTTAGGTGTAATAACAATAGAACGTAAATTACCGAACGCCTAAACATACGTAAATTAAAATGTGGAAACCTTTTGAACCTGGAAGTTCTCCTGTTGATTGGTGTGAGGGAAATTACAGTATATCACCCAGCATTGCTGAATTTATGAATACGGTTCGTATGCGTTAATAACTTTATGAGAAAGCTTTCCTTTCTTTGTTCTGTTATCAGCATATAGCATACAATTTTTTCATAACTGTTTTAACAAGGATCCAGACTTTGTTTATAGGTATAATGCATATCAGAGGGATCTTGAAAGATACTTCTATCTTACGTTATTTTTATGCTCTTTGTATGATTTATTGCTCACAAAATAGCCATATTTTTTCATGATGTGACTGTTTCTATGGATATTAGATTTTGAACTGATATTTTTTACAATAGTATGTATGAAAATATTGTAAAATTGTATAGTGTTTTCACATTGCACATTGATTTCATGATGTAATTGAGCGTCATTACTGTTCTACTAATTATTGTTTATTATTTGTTATGCAAAGATCAAGGCTTTCTTAGTATTCACCATTACTTTTTTATGGCTGACTGCCTTTCAGTCACTATTTCTTTTATAACAATGAGTCATCGATTTTAATTCAAGGACTGCGTTGTCCTAACAAATTTTTTTTATAGTTTTGGACCACAGATGTTCATTGTTATTATTATTAAGATGGAGTCTTTGTTCTCTTTCAAATCTTCATTAATCAATGTTATTGTATTTTCTTTACAGTTTAGCAATGTGGTTTTTCTATTACTTCCACCAGTCCTCATGCATCTTTTCAGAGATTATGGAAGATTTGTTAATCCAGGCATCCATGTAATTTGGTTTTTGATGATGGTTGTTGGCCTAAGCAGTGCATATTTTCATGCAACGTTGTCACTCATAGGTATGATTCAATTTTACAAACTATCAAGATATAACATGTATTCCTTATATGTTTTACAGCTAAAGAACATTTTTTATTATAGGGCAGCTGTTGGATGAGCTAGCAATTCTATGGGTATACATGGCAGGATTCTGCATGTTTTTTCCAAGAAGATATTTTCCTAATATATTTCAAAATAATCGAAAATGGTTTTCATTGTTCAACATTTTGCCAACACTGATTGGCACAGGTTTAGCACTGATACATCCAGCTGTTAATGCATTTGCACTGATGATTCTTGGCATTCCAGCTTTTGGGTTCATGATCATTGAATTAAAAAGGTAAACAAATTTTTACTTTTTATGTAGCATAAGTATAGTGACTCTTTATTATATATTTGCAAATATTTACGGAAAATACATGCTAATAGATGAGGTCTACTCATCTGTCGCAAATACGTTATCTTGGAATTTTTAATAATAAGCAGCTAATTGTTTACATGTAAAATCCATATGACATCATTGAATTTAAACTTATTTGAATAGCCAAAAAATTGATAACAATATTTTATAACGTCAAATTTATACATAAAATGATTTGTTTATTTTTATCAAAGGACAAGATCTGTACGAGTTTATCGATTGGGTTTGAGATGTGGAGCCATTTGGATCCTTGCTGTTGCTTGCTGGTTAAATGATCGTCTATTTTGTGACACCTGGTTAAATCTTAACTTTCCTTATCTCCATGCTTTATGGCATCTATTTATTTTTATTGCCAGCTATACGGCAGCGGTATTATTTGCCTATTTTTCTGTGAAAGAAGAGAAACCTCAGCAAATTCCTGTCCTTAGGTATTGGCCGCGAGATGACTTTGAGCTTGGCATACCTTATGTAACTATCAAAAGTTACATTAAAGGCTACAATACAAATATATAACGAGCGATGTTAGCTGGATAAGGTTGTGGACGTGCGAATCAAAGTCTCTATGCACGGTGCATTTACACTTGTAACGTGATTTGGTTCTATAATATGTAGCAGATCAAGGTCATTATATCCAATGTCATTCATAAGTTGATAGACCTACATTGAAAATGTAACGTGATTGCTTTGCAATCAACTAAATGACTGAATCTCTATATCATAATAATGATTTAAAAGAGAAACACACTGTAGCAAATTTCATAATATTGAAAGGCTGTTCAGCAAATTAATCAGTTATAATTCATTTTAATTGTAATTCAGACACAATTACATCTGCACTTAGACTTTCTTTAAGTATTTCAAATTAGACATGGAGCAAAATATTGATTTATTTTTTCTATAGAGAAAGTTAGATGTCAGAAGTAGTATAATTTGTAATCTTTTAAATGGAAATTGATAATAGTACGCTAGTTATCACTTGCATACATGTCATCACAATTATTTTTTTTAAATAGACCTCTGACATATGTATCTTAATGATTTGTATTGATCTCGCATATAAGTATTACAATGATCTAAACCTTTTATGAACTCCAGACTAGCCTATTTAAGAATTCAGTATTTAAGAATTTATTGGCTTGGTTTGCTTTAAAATGCAAAAATCTTGTATGCATTTTATTATAATTGATATAGAAATTATAATTATGTCTATTTATGTAGCATATCTCCATCATTCCTACTAATATTTTTATTATCTTTTACTATCTGTTCCTTGAGAAATTCAGTAGGAGACAGAATTATTATTGTGATTTATATCGGCGCCAAACAGACCAAAGTTTGATTTTTAACATGATTGGATTAGCGTGAGGAAAGGTTTCTAGGTTGTTGATAGTCAAGATTCAATTTCAATAAGAACAACGGGGTGTTGTATTGAATAATTGTAATAGGACTGATGCAAAAGGCTAAAAAATATACATGTATTTTGTATAAATGTATTTAGTATACATAAGCTTTAAAAAAAGAGACCCTGCTTATGAAGAAATATGCCACTTATATAAATATATTGACATTGATACATAAAAATATATTAGAATATATAGAATAGAATATAATGTAGTCGGTAGTTTTATATTAATTCCAGTTTAAAGTTTTACTAATAATATGGAATAATAATGATTCAATATTTTATAGTATGGTGGTATACTTATATTATTCTTTATCACCAGGTAGTCAATACAAGATGAAATTTTGTAAGAAAAATAATGATTTGAGAGTATTAGATGAGTGATAACTGATTATATATAATTCTAAGCAAAAAGTATTCATATATATTCTATGTTTATTGTATCAATCTGTGATTATTGTCATATTAAAGTCAAAATATATATAACTTTATTAAAATTATATGGGTCATTGAAATTTTAAATTATTTACAAGTATATATAATTTTGGATTCATATTATAAATATTGGAATGCTTTCAACACTGAGAGAGCTATTCACTTGATGCTTATTCTCCTCTATAAATCACAATATTTTTATCAGTTTCAAATATTTTCACTTCATACAATAAATCTGGATTAGGCATTTCCTTTTTTAGTTCATTAAAAATGTAAATAGCAACGTTCTCGGTAGTTGATACAACATTTTTGAAATAGTTAACATCTTTATCCAAATTTTTGTGATCAAGTTGATCCATGAGAACGTTTTTCATATATACTTTCAAATCCGAGATGTTCATTACCATTCCCGTTGCGGAATCAACTGGACCACGAACAGTGACCTCCACTACAAATGTTAAAAATGACTTAGAAATAATATTTAAGAAGATTATTAATAATATTACCAGTGTAATTGTGTCCATGTCCCCAGAAGTTATTGCACTTCCCATATATCGCTTTGTTCTCCTCGTCGCTTAAATGCGGACTAAAACAAACATTTTAAAAAATAACTGCCGTATTAATATGCAAACTGTGAACATTTGAAAAATATAACTACATTGAATATTATCTTTTGAGTACTTCATTCTTATTTACCTGTGCAAACGGTGACAAGACGATATAGATTCCTTGCGCGTCAAATATGCAATTGGTCGTGCCATTTCTGAGAACAGTAGAATCAGATTGATACAGAATCAAAGGCTTATTCGCTACGACTGAGATGAAGAATTTTAAATATTTTTCATTGCATAACGTAACAACTCTTTCTTATTTAATGAAGGCCGCACGAAGTGTTATACTATATTATATATTGCAATTGAAGGTAAATTGCTAGAGAAAGGAACTAACAGGATACTTTACAGAAAAATAATGGTGCTTATATAAAACATTTTTTGTCGTACTACATCTGTAATATATAAGTAAGTAGTAATGAATATGACAAATATGCTGAAGACGTTTCTACTGCACAATTGCTTAATTCAAATGTAAACAGAATTGGAGTTTTGAAGAAATTGAACGTGGTCTTGTATAAGGTACTTAATCATTGTAAAACTATAGGATTTAACTTATGAAATGATTTTAATATATTATTGAATCAAGATATTTGATTTCCGATTAATATTATAATTTTCCAATTGTAGCTATACGACTTGCACAATAATTTACTTCGCAACTTGAATTTTGTGTTTAAATTCTTTCTATTACAGACGATACTGAGTGATAACCTGCTAGTTTGATGTAACTGTGAAATTCAATATCAAGCGAAATTTCCATATTTGACTTAAAATACTAGCAGTTGGGTAATATAAGTACACCATTGGTTACTGACCAACTGTTATAATGTTTTTAACCAATAGCATTCCTCTTTTAAGTCACTTCTACTACAACTGACGGCAAGCGTGATGGAGAATTTCTAGCTAGAGGAATTATTTGTTTTATCTATAAATAAAATATTGTTTAGTCTAATCGTGTGGTGGCAGAGATGAGCAGGCAGAAGCACAACGCTACGGTTTTAAAGAAACATTTTTCAATTGCATTCTATCTGCCGGTTTAAAAGCTGAACTATCGCCATCTTAAGGTAACTTTTGACGACTGCATTTAACGCAGTGTTGCGCGTATACCCTTAGGCTTGAAGTATCGTCCTCACAGTTACGATTCAGAGGAGTAGGAGACTGGCACATGTCCCCCATTAGGGATACAGCCATAAGGAAAGGAAGGAAGGAAGATGAGTAGGAGATGCGCAACGCTACGGTTTTAGGCGATACCAAAATCATGGCGCTAAATCTTAGTGGCGCGTCTTGCAAGTAGGATTTTGTCATCATCGCCTCCGTCGACAATGCAAATCCCGTCGTAGCCGAGCTAAACGTGAACACCAACGAGTACTGCGGAATCAACTGGACCACGAACAGTGACCTCCACTACAAATGTTAAAAATGACTTAGAAATAATATTTAAGAAGATTATTAATAATATTACCAGTGTAATTGTGTCCATGTCCCCAGAAGTTATTGCACTTCCCATATATCGCTTTGTTCTCCTCGTCGCTTAAATGCGGACTAAAACAAACATTTTAAAAAATAACTGCCGTATTAATATGCAAACTGTGAACATTTGAAAAATATAACTACATTGAATATTATCTTTTGAGTACTTCATTCTTATTTACCTGTGCAAACGGTGACAAGACGATATAGATTCCTTGCGCGTCAAATATGCAATTGGTCGTGCCATTTCTGAGAACAGTAGAATCAGATTGATACAGAATCAAAGGCTTATTCGCTACGACTGAGATGAAGAATTTTAAATATTTTTCATTGCATAACGTAACAACTCTTTCTTATTTAATGAAGGCCGCACGAAGTGTTATACTATATTATATATTGCAATTGAAGGTAAATTGCTAGAGAAAGGAACTAACAGGATACTTTACAGAAAAATAATGGTGCTTATATAAAACATTTTTTGTCGTACTACATCTGTAATATATAAGTAAGTAGTAATGAATATGACAAATATGCTGAAGACGTTTCTACTGCACAATTGCTTAATTCAAATGTAAACAGAATTGGAGTTTTGAAGAAATTGAACGTGGTCTTGTATAAGGTACTTAATCATTGTAAAACTATAGGATTTAACTTATGAAATGATTTTAATATATTATTGAATCAAGATATTTGATTTCCGATTAATATTATAATTTTCCAATTGTAGCTATACGACTTGCACAATAATTTACTTCGCAACTTGAATTTTGTGTTTAAATTCTTTCTATTACAGACGATACTGAGTGATAACCTGCTAGTTTGATGTAACTGTGAAATTCAATATCAAGCGAAATTTCCATATTTGACTTAAAATACTAGCAGTTGGGTAATATAAGTACACCATTGGTTACTGACCAACTGTTATAATGTTTTTAACCAATAGCATTCCTCTTTTAAGTCACTTCTACTACAACTGACGGCAAGCGTGATGGAGAATTTCTAGCTAGAGGAATTATTTGTTTTATCTATAAATAAAATATTGTTTAGTCTAATCGTGTGGTGGCAGAGATGAGCAGGCAGAAGCACAACGCTACGGTTTTAAGCGATACCAAAATCATGCCGCTAAATCGTAGCGGCAAGTCTGGAAGTAGAATTTTGTGATCATCGCCTCCGTCGACAATGCAAATCCCGTCGTAGCCGAGCTAAACGTGAACACCAACGAGTACCTTGGCGGGCAGAGGTTCTCCGCTACTCACCGCTGGTTCCCAAAGCAACTCTTAGAACGAGACCGGGAACTGTAGAAGTTCTCAAGAATTATTGAAAAAGCCTATTGTTGAAATATTTTTAAGACATTTTTAAGAAAGTGCAGTACCAACCGAACACGGATGTAGCACGTCAATTTTTACTAAATATTATTGGATCTTGATTTACATGAGGTTTTTCTCAATAAAAAAAAATATGGTCCCCTATGGGGCCACGGAGGGGTCGTTGCTCCCTCGTGGAGAGG